TGAGCTCTGCCTCGGCTGGAACCCCGGGCTCACGCCTGTTCCCTTGACACCTGGGCTCCTGCTGCCCACTGCTACCCTCAGGATTTGAACCCTGGACCTGAGCCAGTTCTGACTTCATCGCCCCGCCCTCTGACCACATCCCTGTTAGAGCGTCTGTTCCCAGGCCCCGGTAACTGGGGGGGTGCGGACAGGAATCCTCTCACGCCTCTCTCACAGGGCTGTTCTCATTCACACGAGGAGATGTGTGGGGGCGGGACACTGGGCAAAAGGACGGACGTTCTATGTCCCCATGCTTAGCCCCAAAAGAACCCTGAGCACTTCGGGATAACCTGATTATTGGGCTGCTCTGAGACGAGGCGTGGATGTGGCAAAGAATTTTAAAAAGGAGGGAATGTGTTTTTCAGGATATTTAGAGAATCCGCCTGCACTGAGGCTGGGAGGAGGGAAACAGCGTGCTTAGCCCTGGGACTGGAATTTATATTCCAAGGAGTCCATGCTGGACTGCCTCATCAGAACTTTGGAATTAATTCACTTGGGAGGCTGCAGGCCTACTATGTGCAGAGTGAGACTTGAGGGCAGGCGGAAGGCAGCTTCTGCCACCTGGGCCTGGACCCATCAGACTTATGGGAAGCCGAGGATGACCTGTCAGAGGCAGAGGGATCTCCATGTGTGCCGGTGTTTCCAGAACAGAAGCGGGACAGAGTATTTTTTGGCCGTTGAGCACCTAGTCAGCCTTCTCCTGGTGGAAACTCCATTCTTATGTGGGACTCTATTCTCAGCCAAGGTTCCAGGGTAGAGCTCCTGCTACCCCCACGTCTGGCTCAGGAGTGGACCATGTGACTTATAGTCCAGGGAACCAGGCGTCCTCCCGGCCACACTGATTGGCTCAGGGACAGACATGGGACTGATCCAGAGCCAATGAGATGCACTGAGACTCACTGGGAATCCTGGGAGACAGACTCCCACGCCTGCAGCTGGCCAGGAAACTGGGAGAATGTAAGGAAGGTTACATTGCTACCAGGAGGAGAGAGAGCGTCTGTGAATACAGTCGAGCAGAAGAAAACAGAGCTGACAGTAGAGGGAAACCAACTCCATGGGGGTTCATTTGAACTCCTGGATCCACCCATGCCTGATACCCCTACAGCTGGTTTTCAGTTAAACAGGTGAATATATTTCCTCTTTGATTAAGCCAATGGGAGTTAAATTTCTGTTCATAAACAACTGCAAGCGCCTAGTCTGATTACAAAAAATTACCCTATAGTGGCCGGGTGCTGTGGCTCACGCCTGTAATCCCAGCACTTTGGGAGGCCAAGGTGGGTGGATCACTGAGGTTGGGAGTTCAAGACCAGCCTGACCAACATGGAGAAACCCCATCTCTACTAAAAATACAAAATTAGCTGGGCGTGGTGACGCATGCCTGTAATCCCAGCTACTCAGGAGGCTGAGGCAGGAGAATCACACGAACCTGGGAGGCGAAGGTTGCAGTGAGCCAAGATCGTATCATTGTACTTCAGCCTGGTCAACAAGCGCAAAAACTCTGTCTCAAAAAAAAAAAACAAAAACAAAAAACAACAACTAAGATGATTGTAATAACCAGCAAGCTTGGAGGCTGAAATGGCTCATACTGGGGATGATAAAATAGATGGGTGTGATGTGTGTGTGTGTGTGCATTAATGATGTGTGCACATCACTTAATGGTTTATATCACATCTTCATGTGCCAGACTGTGAGCTCCAGGAGGACCATGGCTGGGTCTGTTTTCATTCACCCTGGAATAGCCAGCACTTGGCATGGTGCCTGGCACACAGCAGGCTCTCAATGAATACTTGTTGGGGGTGGTGAATGAATAATGGAATCAAGTTTGACTAGTCCACTCCCCTCATATGATTGTTCTGAGTATCAGAAGTACTACATGTTAAACACCCAGCAGGGTGCCTGGTACACAGTAGGTGCTCAGTAAATGGAAGTGCACATGACTAAGTATGCAAGCGTATGCTCGTTTGTCAGATTTGGGAGTTGAGGCTCTTAGGAGTAGGCAACATGTCCAAGGTCACGTAATATGTGTCCAGGTTGGGGCTCTGAGCTTGATCCCACTGACTCCAAATGCGAAACTCACTGTACAGTCCCTGGAGGGTGTTGGCAGAATAATGACATGATGGGCTGAAGGGCCACAGGCCTGTGGGTCAGGCGTGCTCAATTCATGCAGGATTTTAGAAGAGTCTGAATTAGCTGCCAATATTTACCAATCAGGAGATTTCATAGGTAAAAAATACAAATTTGCGGCTTCTGCCGAAAAATCAGGAAAACTGGCCGTCTGGGTCCACAGTTCTACTTGGGCCCGATCTGCCCCTTTTAAAAGACAGACGCCTTCTCCACAGTCCCCACCAGTCCCTATTGTCCACTCACTCCCGGCTTGCTACCCTCTTTCAGTGGCTGCCTGTTCTCTAGTGACTTTAACCTGGGGAGTCACAGTAGGCAGGGCCCAGGACTGGTGGCAGTGTAGAGGGGAAAAGAGAAAGAGGGATGGATTTGGCAGCCAGTCTGGGGAAAGAATGTACCAGCTGTGGGGGGATGTCAGAGCTGACTCTGATGATTCGGATGGGGCAGGAAGATTTGTTCATTTACATGTTTCTTTTAAAATGGGACATCTGGATGAAACATCACCGTTAGCCTCTCCTCCTCCTCCTCCTCCTCATCTAAGCCAGGGGTCAGCAAACTACAGCCAAGCAGGTCCACTGCCTGTTTTTGTAAACAAAGCTTCCTTAGAACATGGCCATGCTTATTTGTTTGTATATTACCTATGGCTGCTTTCACACTATAATGGCAGACTTCAGCAGTGGTAACAGGACTGTAAGCCTTGTAAAGTCTAAAATATTTAGTATCTGGCCCTCTACAGAAAATATTTGTTGCCCTGATCTAAGCTACCACATACTGAGTATTTACTTCGTGCAAGGAGGTGCTTCTAATGTTCTACATGTATTAACTCATGTGATCCTCAAAAACCTCTATGGTAAAACCATAAGGAAACACCACTACACGCCCAGCAAAGCAGCCCTGACAAAAAAGACACCACCAAGTGCTGATAAGGGATGCAGAGCAACTCCCATTTCTGGTTGGGAGTGTCAACTGGTGCAACACCTTTTTTTTTTTTTTTTTTTTGAGATGGAGTCTTGCTGTGTTATCCAGGCTGGAGTGCAGTGGCGCGATCTCGGCTCACTGCAACCTCTGCCTCCTGGGTTCATGCCATTCTCCTGCCTCAGCCTCCCGAGTAACTGGGATTACAGGCGGCCGCCACCACACCGGGCTAATTTTTGTATTTTTAGTGGAGACAGGGTTTCACCATGTTGGCCAGGCTGGCCTCGAACCCCTGACCTAAAGTGATCCACTCGCCTCGGCCTCCCGAAGCACTGGGATTACAGGCATGAGCCACTGCGCCCGGCCGGGTGCAACATCTTAACACACCCTATGTCCCAGCAGCTCTTCTTCGGGTGTGTAACCAAAATAAATGGGCACATATGTCCACTAAAAGCCATGGACAAGGATGTTCATGGCAGCTTAGTTTATAACAGACCCAAGCTGGAGACAACCAAATGTCCATGAGTTGTTGAAGGGATAAATACAGATCTCATAGACACGGCACTGGGTGAAGAAAGGTAGACGCAGAAGAGAACAGACTATACGATTCCATTTAGGTGCAGTTCTAGAACCGGCAAAACGAATCCATGGTGACAGAAGTCGGAGTAGATGCCATCCCCAGGGTGGTGGTCATGACTGGAGAGGGGTCCCAGGGAGTCTTCCGGAAATGATGTACGTCTTGGTCGGAGCCGTGGTGAAACAGATGCACGCATATTCGAAACAGATGCACACACACGCATGTGAAAATTCACTGAGCGGTCCACTTAAGATCTGTGCGTGCTACCTCATGTCAATTCATCTTAAATTAAAAATAGAAAAAACGACGACTGAGGATCAACCACCTCAGCAGGTGCTTAGGCAGGAACCACTCACTCTGAACATGCACACGCCCTGTGCTCAGCAACGCTGCTGTGAGGAGCGGGTGTAACAGAAACGAACCCCTGTGCTCACCAGGAACTAGGTTCTAGACGGTGCTCAGCGGCACTATGTGTAATAACCCCAAACTGGAAATACCTAAATGCCCAATGAAAGTAGAATAAACAAACAAATTGCGGTATAAGCCCATGACGGAATGCTGGGCAGCAAGAATGAACTCAACATAATACCAAGCAAGAGAAGCCAGAGGCAGAGAGAATCTGTAACGCTAAGAGTCTGAATCATCGTTATGCTCGTGGGAGGGCTGTCGAGTGGGGGGAATTCCGTGAGGGGACTGCTGCGGGCGGTGGTGACATTCTCTTCTTGGCCTACCTGGGTGCTCATTACACATGTCCGTTCAGTTTGCAACAAGCCCTTGAGTGGTACACTCTGTATATGTACTTTCTGTAAGAATATTCTGTCTGGGCAAAATGTTAAAAAACCAAACTCTTGGAAACAGAGACTATTCTTTGAGAAATGAATACACTTTTCTTTTCTTTTTTAAAGATACAGTCTTGCTCTGTCACCCAGGCCCAAGAGCAGTGGCAAGATCTTGGCTCACTGCAGCCTCAAACTCCCAGGCTTAGGCAATCCTCCCATCTCAGCCTCTCCAGTAGATGGGACCATAGGCATGTGCCACCACACCTGGCCAGTTTTTGTATTTTTTTGTAGAGACAGGGTCTCGTCATGTTGCCCAGGCTGGTCTTGAACTCCTGGACTCAAGTGATTCGCCCGCCTTGGCCTCCCAAAGTGCTGGGATTACAGGCATGAGCCACTGTGCCTGGCTGAGAGATGAAAAAACTGAGAATGAGGAGGTGGATGTAAAATGCTCAAGGTCACACTTTTAAGTGTCTGAGTCACAATCTGAACCCAGGTAGTCTGGCTCCCGAGTTGGGCCCCTAACTGCTGGGCCTCACGGCCTCTCCCAGGCCGGAAAGGTCGCAGCTTACCTTGGAGTAGTCGGAGCCGTGCTTCTCTTTCACCCCGTTCCGACACAGTGTGTAGTTATAAAAGCGGGAGTTTTTAAGAAGTCCGACCCACTCCTTCCAGCCGGGCGGCACGTAGGAGCCGTTGTATTCATTAAGATACTTTCCGAAGAAAGCTGTGGAGAAAGATGGATCAGGAGGCCACGTGAGAAAGTGCCTGACGATGTTTATTAAACCATTGTATTGAGTATGCACGCCTGCTCTGCCATGGAGCCCCCTGGCACACGGAGCCAATGGATCCCTTCTCCAATGTTATTACATGCATTGAATACAAGACATAGGGTTACAGAGAAAATCAATTGTTTGGAAATACGGTTATCAAAATACTAAAAGCATTTGCGACACAGTCTTTTATTTTTTATTTTTATTCCAGACGGAGTCTTGCTCTATTGCCCAGGCTGGAGTGCAATGACACGATCTTGGCTCACTGCAACCTCTGCCTCCTGGGTTCAAGCAATTCTCCTGTCTCAGCCTCCCGAGGAGCTGGGATTACAGGTGTCTGCCACCACGCCTGGCTAATTTTTTGTATTTTTAGTAGAGACAGGGTTTCACCATGTTGGCTAGGCTGGTCTCGAACTCCTGACCTCAGGTGATCTGCCTGCCTTGGCTTCCCAAAGTGTTGGGATTACAGGCATGAGCCACCATACCTGGCCTACTATGTCTTTTAAAACCTTGTAGACAGTGATCATTTCAAAACAGTTACGAGTGAAAATATTTGATTTTGTGATATCTGCAACAACTGCAACCGGGTATTAAAATACTGGTGATTTCTACAGATGACAAAGCTACAGATTCTGCCAGCATACTGTGGTTTATGGCCTATGCTCATATTGGAAGCAAATGCTAAGTTTCAGCTGTAGGTTAGTGAAAATGAGACTGTAATTATTTTTCCCCATTGAAGTTTATGGATCCCTTGGATTCTGTCTACTACACAGCAACCAGAATGGCTAACATTAAAAAAATGGGCAACACTAAGTATGGGTGGGGATGTGGGACAACTTGAGCCCTCACATACTGGGTGGCTGCCCCAACCAGTCCAGCCACGGTGGGGAACTCTTTGGCCGTGTCTGCTAAATTTGAACGCATTGGTAACTTCTACCCAGCAATTTAAATCTTGGGTATTTACCCAATAGAAAAGTATTCGTACATTCACCTAAAGTAAGGTGTAAGACATGACAGCACATTTGTAATAGTAAATAAGTAGAAACAAATGAAATGTTTATCAACAAAAGGATGGGTAAAGAAATTGTTGCGTATTTAGAGAATGGAAGGCTGCACTGAAACCTGAATGAAAGACCTAGTGCTACATTCAAGAACAGGGATGCATCTCAGCAACCTAAGAATGTTAAGAGAAATAAACCAGATACAAAAGAATACATGCCATATGACCTCATCTATGAGAACAGGCCAAACTAACCTATGGTGTGAGAATAAAAACAGTGGGTGTCCTGGAGACGGGGGGACGGTGGGTGGGAGCAGCAAGGGGTGTTTAATGAATGGTCTTGTTCTGTGCCTTGCTGGAGCAGGTGGTTCAGTTGGTGACACCTCACTGGCCTGGACATTTGGGAGCCGTGCACTTTTCCACATGCATGCGTTACATCAACAACAAAGCTTAAAGAAAATCATCCTAATTCATCGGGAAGGGGATGTGCCTAAAAACTCTCTGTGATGAGGAGACAGACAAGTCCTCTTCATGGTCTTCTTCTGTTTTTATTTTGCATGTACATTTTTTTTTTCTTTGAGACACGTCTCACTCTGCCACCCGGACTGGAGTGTAGTGGCACCATCACGGCTCACTGCAGCCTCAACCTCCCAGGCTCAAGTGATCCTCCCGCCTCATCATCCCGAGTAGCTGGGACGACAGGCGCATGCCACCATGCCTGGCTTATTTTTGTAGTTTTTGTAGAGAACGGGTTTCACCATGCTGCACAGGCTGTTCTTGAACTCCTGAGCTCAAGCGATCTGCCTGCCTCAGCCTCCCAAAGTGCTGAGATTACAGGCGTGAACCATGGTGCCTGGTTTGCATGTACAATAACTGCCGACTAGAGACAGCAATCCTATTCTAGTCCTCTCTTTCTAGATGAGGACGCCGCGGTTCTGAAATTTCTGACGAGTATTGTTGAGAGCACAGAACACGAGCGTTCCAGGCAGTTGTGGGGATGTAAGGAGATCCTGCTAACAGAAGCTCGGCGCTGGGCCTTGTGCATGTGAGTACTCAGCTAAGAACTCAGGATGAAAAGAGAAAGGCCGGGGAGGTGAACCCCCAGAGGAAGGACAGTGGGTGGGATGGGGCTCTGGTGCCCCTAGAGGAGAGGACAACCCATCCACCAGTGTCCCTGGAGAAAGTACAGAGCCACCTGGCCCTGGGAGAGCTGCGATGGAGCTGGCTCCCTCTGCAGGGGTTTTCCTGGTGACCTGGGAGATGGCTGACACTTTCCGGGAGTGGGAAGACCCCTTAGGAACCCAAGCAGCGGGATTCTGGAACTCCCAAAATACAAGGCAAAGGGGAACACTTCATTAAATAACTTGCCCACCATGCAGGGCTGGGAGGTGACCACTCCAGAGGGAGGAGCTGATGAAACACCTCCTAGAAGGATCTGGGTACACAGGAGAGGTGCAAATAGGAAGGGAGGATCCCCCAGCAGCCTCAGGGGTAAGGTCCAGGATGGAACCTCCCTTTCTGTGGGAGGATGGAGCAAAAATAAACGGGAAGAACCTGGCGTTCTGCAGAGGAGGAGGCGGGGAACCGGCTGCAGTCTCTGAGTCATATCCAGTTTTCACAGAGTGAAATGTAATTAGGTGGTGGGTGCCTAATTAAACAGTGACTGGGCGTCCCTGGCTAGGTGTCAGGGAGTCACTGATGGAGTGGGAGGCAGCATGACAGTCCTGGGCAAGCTAAAGGCCTGTGCTTCTCTTTCTCTGGCACCTGGAATTTTGGAGATGCCTCAATGCATCCAGCTCCTCAAAGCAGTGGCTCTTGGCCAGAAGGTGGGTAATCTCTGTCCCCAGGAGACACTTGGCAATGTCTGGAGACATTTTTGGTTTCATCACAACTTGGTGTGCTATTGATATCTGGTGGGTGGAGGCCAGGGATGCTGCTCAATATTCGCCGACGCGCATGGCAGCCCCCACGCTACGAAGACTGAGCCAGGACAAAATGTCAGCAGCCCCTAATCCAATAACCCTTTTTTTTTTTTTTTTTTGGAGAGAGGGTCTCTGTTTTCCAGGCTGGAATGCAATGGCATGATCTTGCCTCACTGCAACCTTCACCTCCTGGGTCCAAGGGATTCTCTTGCCTCAGCCTCCTGAATAGCTGGGACTATAAGCGTGTGCCATGATGCCCGGCTAATTTTTGTATTTTGAGTAGAGACAAGGTTTCACCATGTTGGCCAGGCTGGTCTCGAACTCCTGACCTCAAGTGATCCACCTGCCTCGGCCTCCCCAAGTTCTAGGACTACAGGCATGAGCCACCGTGCACGGCTGAGAAATCCTCTCTTACTTAAATAAACCTGTCTATGGTCCAACCCTCTAGCATCTCACCCTTCAGGTCTTTAGAGCCATGTTGTGAGAGCCAGGAAGGCCCCTGAAAACCAAGTGTAGGTCAGGAAACCAGATTTCCTAAACCTAGTGACCTTGACCCCCACCTCTGACGCTGCCCTCCATGTGGGGGGCTCCACTCCTGTAACACTCCTGGCCTCTCTCCATGCTCTCCTGTACCTCCTCCGAGGGGGACAATATACAGCAGAGGTCACCAAACCTTTTCTGTAAAAGCCAGATAATCAATATTTTAGGCTTTGTGGGCCAGAGGGTCAACGGGTCTCTGTGACAACTACTAAACCCTGCTATTGTTAAAAAGAAAAAAAAAAAAAAAGTCACAGACAAGACATAAACAAGTGGGCGGGGCTATGTTCCAATAAAGCTTCATTTACCACCACAAATGGACGGCCTGGTTAGGTCCACTGGCTGTGGTTTGCTGACCCCCAGCATGTGTCTGGTGGGTTTGAAGGGCCAAAGTAGGCATGGGTAGCCCAATCCTTCCCGTGCTTTTCCTCTGGGGACTGAACTGCCCCCAGGGAGTGCTAGCTTTCAGGAGGCTTGTCCTGTCCGCGTGGGGAGGAGAGGTGTGGACCAGTATGAGTGAAAAGTCCGTCACACTCGGAGTTTAGTCAGGAAGCCCAAATGCCCTCAGAAGGAAGCCATGCCCCCAAACCCAGCCTTCACCAGATTCATCGGAGTGCAGTGTTGACTGGCATCTGCTGACTCCCGGGTTTGATTTCTTAATCGGCTCAGGACCTCAACAAGGAAGAGGGTAAAATAAGCCCCCTCATAAATTGGTATTCCCATTTTTCTAAGAAAAAAATGAGCTTTATTATTGTTATTACTATTATTTTTTTGAGATGGAGTCTTCCTCTTGTACCCAGTCGGGAGGACACTGGTGTGATCTCAGCTCACTGCAACCTGCACTTCCCAGGTTCTAGTAATTCTCGTGCCTCAGCCTCCTGAAGAGCTGGGATTACAGGCGTGACCATCACGCCCAGCTAATTTTTGTATTTTTAGTAGACACAGGTTTTTGCCATGTTGGCCAAGCTGGTCTTTAACTCCTGACCTCTGGTGATCCGCCTGCCTTGGCCTCCCAAAGCGCTGGGATCACAGGTGTGAGCCACCCCGCCTGGCAGAGTTTTATTATTTTTCACTCTTCTTTTTTCTCCATTTCCCCTATGCCCCACTTTGCCCTTCAGAAATGCAATTATAACCTTTTACCTCCCCTACACCAGACAGTCTCTTCAGGCCAAGTTCATCTAATCACCCGCTCAGAGGCTCCGGAGCGGAACTCTTACTCACCAGGAGGTTGCCTCGAGAGACAATGGTCCATCTACAACCCAAAGTATGCCTGCTGTGAAACTCCCTCCCAGGTGCAGAGCTTCTGGCCACCCTTAGAACCTAGTTCCACCCACAAAGGCACCAGTGGCTGTCAGCTGACTTCCCGGTGGATGAAGTACTTGAGTGAGATATGCGGACCCCCCAGCACCCACTTCCTCCCCTGTGTGCCATTCATGCCAGGCTCCCTTTTAAAAGCACCTCCTTTTTGCTCCTAAAAGCAAAGCAGTACTCTTAA